ACGTTTGTAATGTGACTACTAGAAAATTTAAAATTAAATATGTTGCTCACATTTAAAATATTTATATATATGTTTTTATTGATTTTAGACAGGAAGGGAGAGGGAGAGAGAAACATCAGTTATGAGAATCATTGATTGGCTACCTCTTACAAGCCCCACACTGGGGATCAAGCTGCAGCTTGTGCCCTGTCTGGGACTTGAACCATAACTTCCACTCATAGGTCAACACTCAACCACTGAGCCAAGCTGGTGCTTGCTTGCATTTTATTGTTATTGAATATAGCTGTCTTATGTCAGTGATAAGACTGATTATAGCACAGATTCTGATTTGTGTAATTATGAAGGGGTCACATAGTATGCTTGCTAGCCTTTCTTGACCCTCTATGCTTGTCATGTTAATATATTCTTTATGCCTTCTAAATTCCCAAAGCTATCGAGATGGATCACTTAACCAGAACCTGGCTATGTTACTTTGCAGCATTTCCTGGTTTCTTTCTTTTTCTTTTTTTTCTTTTTTAAAAAATATATTTTATTGTTTTTTTTACAGAGATGATAGGAGAGAGAGGGATAGTTAGAAACATCGATGAGAGAGAAACATCGATCAGCTGCCTCCTGCACACCCCCCACTGGGGATGTGCCCACAACCAAGGTACATGCCCTTGACCGGAATCGAACCCGGGGCCTCTTAGTCCGGTTTCGGCTGGTTTTGTTTTTTGAGGGTAACTTGGATGATATCTCAAGCTTTGTTGAGGCTTAATAGACATATGTCCTATTGGTAGACAGTATGCTCTACCCCTTAAATAAAACATTTAAGAGTTAATTTATATAACTATCCTACCTATATAATAAAACCCTAATATCCAAATTGACCGAACAGTGGAACGACCAATCGCTATGACATTCACTGACTACCAGGGGGAGGACACTCAATGCAGGACCTGCTCCCTGGTGGTCAGTGTGCTCCCACAGGGGAGCACTGCTCAACCAGAAGCCAGGCTCACAGCAGAGGTGGCAGGAGCCTCTCCTGCCTCCGTTGTAGGCGGATAGTAAGGAGCAAGGGGTCCCAGACTGCAAGAGGGATGTCTGACTGCTGGCTTAGGCCTGATCCTCCCGTGGACATCCCCCAAGGGGTTGTAGGCTGTAAGAGGGCACAGGCCAGGCTATTTCCATTTTACAAATGTGGAAACTAAGGCATTGAAGAAATGTGGCTATTTTTCTTGTAGGATGCCTGCCTTCTGGATTTGTCCTTATTTGATTTTTCATGGTGTCATTTAGTTTTTTCTCTTTCCCTGTGCCTTATATCATTTATAAGCCAGAAATTAAATGTAAATTCATGATGTAAAGTCATATATCTGGTTGACCCGTACTATTAGAATGACAAAGTGTTTGTATCTTCATTGAAATAGTTTTGTCATTGTATAAGTATCTATGGTGTTTTAAGAATTTTGCCTGAACAATTTTGAGTGTGCTAACTTGCTTTTGGATTTTCTTTCTATGTGTTTTTTTTAATTGTTTATTTTTAAGTTTTTTTTTTTTTTTTTTTTAATATTTTTATTGAATTCAGAGAGGGAGAGGGAACGAGAGAGAGAAACATCAATGATGAGAGAATCATTGATTGGCTGCCTCCTGCTTGTCCCCTACTAGAGATTGAGCCTGCAACCTGGGCATATACCCTGAATAGAAATTGAACCTTCACTTCCTGGTTATAGGTTTATGCTCAACCACTGTGCCACACTGGCCAGGCTTCTTTGCTGTTCTTCCTGAACTATTCTTTAAAGCAAACAAACAACTATACCATACTTCATCTTTTAAAAATATGTTTTTATTGATTTTGAGATTGGGAGAGGGAGATAAACATTAATTGGCTGTCTCCTGCATGCCTCCTACTGGGGATTGAATCCAAAACCTGGGCATGTGTGGACTGGGATTCAAACCAGCAATCTTTTGGTGCATGGGATGGTCAGCTGACTGAGCCACACCAACCAGGACTGGATTATTCTCGATAAGAACATGTATAACTTAATAAAAAATTCTTTCCCCCTTTGAATTTGCCATACACCTATAAATTAATTTGGGAAGAATACAATAGGTAATCTTATACATTTATAAAGGTGAAAAACGGGTAAATACAGATGGGGCAAAAGTAGGTTTACAGTTGTTTTGTGGAAAATAATCTCTATTATAAAAATCCTTTGGCCCTGACACCATCACAGTGTCATAACCAAAGACTGGTCACCAGAGGCTACATGCACAGCAAGGTGCACGTGGGTGGGTGGGACTTGACTCTGGGTCCTGCATCCATCCATCCTGGTTGCGGCGAGAGTCAGTCTGGGTCTGGTTCTCATGCGATATGGCACACTGGGCTCTGGTCCTGTATCATAAAAGTCTAATATGCAAATTGACCCAACAGCAGAATGACCCGTTGCTATGATGTGCACTGACCACTAGGGGGCAGACACTCAACATAGGAGCTGCCCCCTGGTGGTCAGTGTGATCCCACAGGGGGAGTGCCACACAGCCAGAAGCTAGGCTCATGGCTGGTGAGTGCAGCAGCGATGGCAGGAGCCTGACTCCTCCGTGGCAGCGGCAGTGCTAGGGAGCAGCGAGCTGAATGATAAGGAGTAACGAGCAGACGGTAGGTAAGGAGCGAGGGGTCCTGTACTGCGAGAGGGTGTAGGCCAGGCTGAGGGGCCGCTGTGCTCCCCCTCCCCCAACTCACCCCCAGTGTATGAATTTTGTGCACCAGACCTCTAGTAAGATAATAAATAATAAATACTGTGTTTTGTGAACTCACAACTGTAAACCTACTTTTGCTCCACCTTATATTACTAGAATTAGAAAAGGGAGTTAAGTTAAAGACTTGGTACAGGGCAAGGGGTTTTATATTAAGCTATAAAATTGGGTGAATAGGTTTCTAATACAAGCAGGATTTTATTACAATAGAAAGAAATTGGAGCAAGTAAATTATGCTGCCCTCAAATTTTAAACAGATTTCTACATCTTCCCATACCTTAACTAATGCTTGCTGTGTAAATACCCTCATTCACTAGGGTTTTCAAAATGGGGTTGTTTTCCTATAATTATCACAGATGTTTATACAGAGGTAGGGTTTATGTGGATAGGCAAGATATGATGATTCCACCCTTCCCCCTAATACTAAAAATTTAACCAGTTACTACAGGTAATGTATATAGGGTGCCTGGCTAACTCCCCATGCTAAGTGTTTATATGGCTAAATTATCTAAATATTAGATTAAGTGTATACCTGAAACCCATATAATTTTATTAACCATCAAGTCACAACAGTAAATTCAAATAAAATTTTGAAAAAGAAAAGAATATTTTATAGATGAGGAAATGAGCCTTTAGAGAGTTTTCAATACCATACTCAAGATCTCACAGAAGCCCATATTTGATCACCTAGATATTCTTACTCCAAAACAGTTCTTAACTATTAGGTCACCTATGTTTGCCTATTCTTGTCTGTATATGTAAAATAAATGCTTGTCTCCATTGAGGTGATTCACTGGAGAGAGAACAAGATACGGCCAAGCACTATGGAGTAATGTAGCATTTTGTAAAAACCTGTTTACAAATTTGTTAGTGAACTAACATGGAAGAGTTGTCCAATTAGCTACATGTCAAATCTGATGTACTTGGATACGTATTTATTTCTGTGATCAAGTGTTTTATCATCAGACATTTTCTAATCATGTAAAGCATGCCATCTACATCTACATTGTTTTACTTAATGTCTGAATAGCTTTGCTTCATGAAAATATTAAGATGTTATATGAATTTGAGAATGTTTGAGAGATGAATTTTTATAAATGTCAATTTCCGTTTTTCTACTATGCATTCCATTGGACCAGTGGGGTATGGATACCACTTGGTAATATTTGCTAATGTGTGATCTAGATGGGTATGTATTCAGGTAGAATATGTTACTCTTATGCCTTTAATTTGGGGTTACGGGTTGTTGTGGTTCTGTGATGTACCTGTGATTATTACTTTGTTTGCTTTTTTTTTTTTTACATACCATATCTATTTGTATGCTCCTTCAAATTTACCTAGTTTTTTTTGGCCGTTTTTAAAAAAGGTGGGTAAAAACCAAGGAAAGATTTCTAACGAGGCTGTATTTTTGCTTTTAAATAGCATCTTTGGCATTGGGAAAATTTGCTGAATGAGGTTTGACTCAGCTTTTGCCTTGATGAATAAAAGGGTTAAATTTAAAGGGGCAAAAGGCCATTTGCTTCCTGAGGCTAACACAGTGTTGTTGTTTTTTTAAATATATTTTATTGATTTTTTACAGAGAGGAATTGAGAGGGATAGAGAGCTAGAAACATCCATGAGAGAGAGACATCTATCAGCTGCCTCCTGCATACCCCCCACTGGGGATGTGCCTGCAACCAGAGTACATGCCCTTGACCAGAATCAATCCAGGACCTCTTAGTCTCCAGGCTGACACTCTATCCACTGAGCCAAACCAGTTTCAGCTAACACAGTGTTTAAAATTTGTATCAAAGGTCTGGGAGTGTAGCTTAGAGTATAAGTTATTTCTTTGAAGTCTCAAGACTTATCTTTAAAATATCTGAATTTTATATTCCACTCCATTAGACTTTTTTTTAACTAAACATAAAACATTTGAAGTTATTTTCTTTAAGAGTCCTTGCTCCAAAATTGAGAGCTGAGCTTGGCCAGTAATTGTTGTGTATTAACAAATATCTGCTCTTTAATAGTTGTCGAGAGCCCTACGTTAATGAAATTTTTAGGTGATGATGGCTGACTGTGAGATAACTATTTCTTCGTTTAGTTTCACAATCAATGTCAAGGGATGGAGAAAATATACAAATAAATATGGTAAATGTAAAGTGCATGAAATAGTCTTTTCAACATATAGTTTTTGTGGGTTTTTTTTTGTTAACATAATCCAATTCCTTATATTTTAATGATCTTGAATTCATTTCTTAATATGTCTTCAACGTCTCGTTTACTTTTAGGTGAGAAACCATTTAAATGTGATCAGTGCAGTTATGTGGCCTCTAATCAACATGAAGTAACTCGCCATGCAAGACAAGTTCACAATGGGCCTAAACCGCTTAACTGCCCACACTGTGACTATAAAACAGCAGATAGAAGTAACTTCAAAAAACACGTGGAGCTACATGTTAATCCACGGCAATTCAATTGTCCGGTATGTGATTATGCAGCTTCCAAGAAGTGTAATCTGCAGTATCATTTCAAATCTAAGCATCCCACTTGTCCTAATAAAACAATGGATGTTTCAAAAGTGAAACTAAAGAAAACCAAAAAACGAGAAGCTGACTTGCCTGATAACAGTAATACCAATGAAAAAACAGAAACAGAGCCGATAAAAGTAAAGGGAGATGTAGCAGGAAAGAAAAATGAGAAGTCTGTAAAAGTGGAGAAAAAAGATAATGCTTCAAAAGAGAAAAAGTCTAGTAATGCTTCAATCCAGGTGACTACCAGAACTCGGAAATCGGCGATGGAAGCTAGAGAGATGGATGTGCATTCAAGAACCAATTCAGAAAAAAACTGTAAAACCAAGAAAGGCAAAAGGAAGATGGAAGCTGAAGCCCATTCCTTACAAGATCCTGTTAATGATAAGGAACCTGTGACAAAAAAGAAGAAGAAGACAGAAAGCAAACCCAAAAATAGTCAGGAAGTACCAAAGTGTGAGAACAGAGTGGAGGAGAATAAAAAACAGAATACTTGTGTGAAAAAAAGTACGAAGAAGAAAACTCTGAAAAATAAGTCAAGTAGAAAAAGCAACAAGCCTGCTCAGAAGGAGACTGTTCAGAGGGGGCCTGCTCAGACAGAGCCGCTGCCACCCATGGAGCCGTCTCAGGTGGGGCCTGTTCAGACAGAGCCGCCTCCCGCACAGCCCGCTCCCATGGAGGTTCCGATGGAGGCGCCGCCTGCCCTGGAGCCTCCTCCTGCCGTGGAGCCGCCGCCTCTTACAGAGCCTCCAGTTCCCAAAAAGTCTCCTCGAAAAGATAATAAAAAGGAAAAGTCTAACGTGCAGAGTGAAATGGCAAGGAAGGAGCAAGTCCTTATTGAAGTTGGCTTGGTGCCTGTTAAAGAGAGCCAACTTCTAAAGGAAAGTGCAAGTGCACAGGATTTCTTACCACCGTTGCCAAAGGAAAACCTAAAAGAAGAGGAGTCAAAAGACCAAAAATTACTCACCGAATGTGAAGGAAGTCAAGAAGCCCCCCTTCAAAAAGTAGAAGCAAAAGAGGCAAGTAAGAGTCTAGCAGTTGTCAAGGAATCTGTCACTATTTCATCCTCAGAACAAAACTTGAATAAGCTAGAGGGTGAAACTTCAGATGGTAAACATCAGACTGACACTAGGCTTTGTGAAAGCGATATGGATACAGATGAGAACACAACGGAGAATCTCCCTGGGAAAGACTCAGCAGTTGAAGAATCAGTTTCACCACTGCTTCCTCTGCCAACAGAAAAACCAGAAGCAGTGTCCAAAACTGCTGTAGCATCACCTCCTGTTACCATGGCAGTGAATGAGTCTCAGGAAATGGATGAAGATGAAGGTATTCATAGTCATGATGGAAGTGACCTAAGTGATAACATGTCGGAGGGTAGTGACGATTCTGGATTAAATGGGGCCCGGCCAGTTCCACAAGAAGCTAATAGGAAAAATGCAAAGGAAGCCTCTACAGTCAAGGTGGCAGAGGGAGATTTTGTTTGCATCTTCTGTGACCGTTCTTTTAGAAAAGAAAAAGATTACAGCAAGCACCTCAATCGCCATTTGGTTAATGTATACTTCCTTGAAAAAGCAGCTAAAGGGCAGGAGTAATTAAACTTTGGAAAAGGCTTCAATTCTTAGTTTGTGAGGTCCTATCACATTTTATATACCTTTAAACTAGTAGACAACGATTTAATTTTAAAATTGCTTTAATTGGTGTCCAATGTTGATTTTAAGTGGCACTCTTTTTCTTATGACTCTACCTATTGTATCCATTTTAGCAAATCCAAGGGAGTTAGTGTACTAAACCAGCAGACACCTAAATCTGTTAGCTTACACATTTAATTGAAACTAGAAGGCCAAGGTGGCATAGCATTTTATTGCTTTGTCTATTATAACTTGTCAGTTTCCCTCTAATGTCTGTCTTCCTATTTCAGTTTAGTTTATTCTTAGTTTCTTCTGTAGCTCTATAAAAATTGGCATGCTTAAATAGCAAATTACTTGAAGAATTTGCCTGCTTTATATACAGTTAGCACTTTAAAAAATTTTTTAGAGATGAGAAGAGACATTCAAATTGAAGAAAAATTCTCCAAGCAATGGACATTGTTTCAGTCCAGGTATTTACTCCTGAGTTTTGATCAATATTTCTTATTTGTGTATGTTAATCGTCATAAAAACAATGATTTTGGTGTTTCTTTTATTTTTAATTTTGGTGCTTTAATGGCTTAAGATATTGCACATTGTGTTTTTTTTTTAACCTATGCAGTTAAATTTCTTCCTAGTAGTAAAGTAGCATTTGTGTTGAACAGTAACACTTTATACATATATATGCATGTTTATTTTGTCCTCTTTGGAGGGATGCTTTTAGTTTTGTTTGCAAAAGGGCAGTTTTTCTTTTGCTGCAGTTATCTTTTTTGCAGAATATTATTAGTGTGTGCAAGTTGGTGAGCAAATGAAACATACAGGTTCAAGTCATTGATTTTCACATCTTATATCTATACTAGATCTGTATTTCCTATAAGTTATTTATTTTAAATGGATGTAGTAAATTCACAGCTCTCAACTTGACCTTTGCAATAAATGAACCACTAGAATATATTGATGGATTTCTCTCTCAAATACCAACCATAAGTAAAATTTATTGGCCTATTTTAGTATACTACTACTTAAATGTACAGTGTTAAGTCATATTTTTGAGGAAAACCTTCTTTCATAGATGGTTGGTATCCTATGGCTACTCAGATGGGTAAAGAATTGTGACATTTGGGAATTATAAACAGAGACATAACATCTTCAAATTATACAGAATATCAGTTGTGAGATTACAAAGCCATAATAATTATACAAAAAACTTAGATGAGAAAAAGTTAGTATGAGTGCTGATAGACCAGCCACAACTTCCTATGAATACAATGAAAAAGGCTGGTGAACCTTAATTACAGTCCAAATTTAAAAATCACACTATCTCAGGGATCTCCACAAACATGAGTGGGTTTCCTGGCTGTCACTGTGACAGCCTCTTTGTACAGGTGAGGCCTCAAATGAATTGCAGCTATCTTGGTGTTCCTACTCTTTGTAGGAAAAAATGTGTACTCCCAAATTTATTTTGTTTTGATAGGTTCTTTGGCCAGTCGCCAAAGAATATGAAAGAATCCAACAGGATTTTTTTTGTCGATAGTAGTTATTCATTGCAGTAAAAATAAACTATGATCCCAATAGAGAATCTTAAACAATTCTGATCTTCCATTTCCTGTTCTGAAATAACCATTTTATATTTCATTTATTTTCTTCTCTCTGGTGATCTCTTTGAGGTGTAGGTTGCAGAGTGTGGTAGTGCAACATGAAAAAAAGATTAGGAAAAGCGTTGATGAAGTGTGGGTGGAAAACTTGTTAAAAATCTAAGAGTGAAGTTTGAGTTAAAAGATATTTGAACTTTGAATTGACTGGGAGGCCAAAGATTCAAAGAAGATGATTCTCTCAAGACAATAGGAGTAAATTGTGTGTTAATAGTGTGTTTTGTGTGCATGAATGGAAATTTGTAAATGATGTTGAATTCTAGGTGAATTCTTGGCTCCGACAATCATTGTCAACAGAAGATCAAGCTGCAAATATTTATGTTTTAAAATTTAAATTATAAAGCTAGTTTAATCTTTCTAACAACTAGTTTTGATGTTCATGGGTACATTTTATGTAAGTTACCTTTTACATTATATATGAAAAGATTCATGTTAAGTACAGATTGGAGATTAGGAATCAATTTGGGGGAGAGGTTTTTGTAGATTCTTCTGTACTAAAGAAAAACATTTGACTTCTTGGGGATTGACTTATTTTCTTATCTAGTTTTAAAGATGAGAATGCTAAACAAAAATATGAAGGAATTTAAAACCCCTTATTGTTAAATTGATCCGTGAAAACATTGTTATTAGAAATTGAGTTGGGCTTCTCAAGCCTTTCTTCCAGAAAACAAGAACTTGATTGTCAGGCCTATATTAGGTTCTGAACCCTAATGCCATGTATTTGTGCTTATTAAAAATTGTTTTAGTGAAAAACATATTAATAATACGAACTTCTGGTCTAGTTGGGAGTTCTTCCATTTGTAAAATGTGATATTTGCATGAAACCGAATCTTTGTGTTTTCTCCTCCACTGGATAGAATTTAAGCTAGACTTCCCTTTTGATAAAGGAAAAAAAAAAAAATGAACAAGTTATTTGTAAATTGATGTCTAGTGACTAGAGATAAACTTGAAATACTAGAATACATTATAAGCCTAATCCTAGGTAGTCTTATGAAAATGTATCTCTTAACTATCTTTTGAATCTATTGTTTTCAATATATTTTAAGTTATATATTTTTTCCTCTTTTTCAGAGCTGCTTCTTTCAGGCGCTTTTTTATTTTATTTTATTAAAGTATAATTTACAAGGGGCAACATTTTTTTTTTTTTTTTTTTTTTTAACAAGGTTTCTTATAACTATGGCAGGATGTTTTCACTAGTCTTCCAAGGAGGGTCATTTTATTTTTTAGAGTCACTTCTAAAGTCCTGTGGTCTTTAACTTAGGGACTATTTTTTATATGAATGCTAATATTTAAACCCAAGTAGACCTCATTACATGTCACCCTATGAATGTTGACAATGGAAGGGACTACCTTGTCTGTAGTGTATCAGTTCTGGACTGAAAAGCTGGGAAAGGAATATAATTTTCTTTTTTGCATAAGTCAGAAAAATAGCTAGTGTGTGGAGTTTCCTTCTTGACCTCAGCAGATAAACAGCTAATAGTGTTAGTTCAGATTCAGGAAATTATCTGAATCCTGGTTTGTGTAGATTTATAATCTACATGCAATATTAACTAAATCAAATACCTTTTCAGTTTCACATGTATACATAGACTTTCCCCACTCTTTTTAGCATCCATTAGTTAGATATTGAACTTTGTAAACTGGCATTGAAAAATTGCAACACTGTTTTTGTTGTACCAATTTTATAAACTTACAGTGCAATACGTGTTATTTTTTCAGACAAACCAAAGGTTAATTTCTCAAGGTTCTTGCTGCCTGCTTTTGCAGCTTTGGAGGATCTTTTATATACATTTGTAATAGATGAAAAATAAAACTGCAAATCTTTTTCTCTTTCTTTTTTTTTTATGTTTAAACTATGTACCAAGTTTTTGGTCGAAATCATGTAAAATAAGTTAAACTTAAATTGCATTCTATTAACCAATATGAGTGTATTTCTGTAAGCATAGTTATGTTGAAATAAAGTTTTAAAAAGCATGTTATGCCTTTGTTTATTATTGGTACATCAGGTATCAAGGAATCCAGATTTATTGTGCTGAAATTGCAAATGTATTAATAATTTTCTAAATTATATTTTCCAGACAACCCATATTATCTAAAAAGGTCATAGTCAATCTTTATTGCTTGGGGTAACAATCTAGTGGATGGTAGTTCAAAGCATATTTTCCTGTCTCTGGTTTCTGGAAGGTGGAGGTTGTGAGAAACAATGAGAGGACAATTCATAGAAGGTTTTATGTAGTGATAAGTGTCCTGGTGCATGAATTCATGCATATTGGAAGAAAATTCATTAGAAGTATTTTAATATCACTATTCCCATCTTGCTAATGAAAAGAAAATAGGATTCTACTGAGTCTCCTATCTCTACCTACTCCAGGACTTTGATGAGGATCAAATGAGATGAGGCACGGGAAAACACTTCACAGACATTTGGTTAAATTGCAAAATGTTTGCACCTGGCTATAAAGAAGGTCAGGTTCTTGAGCTGAACAAACTAGGATACCAGTCACTAGGGAGAGAAAGCTGGGTGTTGCTAGGTAACGTCATTATCTGGCGCCCACAGCAACTGTAGGCTGGGCTGTGGGCCACATTTTGTGCCATGGGGTCTTGGCAGCATTGGCTGCAATTTTGGTGGGTTGTTGCTCGAAGGTGATGGCAAGGCCTGTGTCCCACTTGGGTAAACTGGGACTTTTAAAACCATTGGATGTGGGAAAAATTGTTGAAAAACGTGACGATCTGGTCCCCTTACACTTGCGGGGAGCCAAGTTTTGGTCCATGGTGCCATTTATTTTAAAATGGCCAAAGCCCATCATGGCTGCTCTTAGGCTGAACATCTGCCCCCGGTGGTCAGTGCATATCATAGGCACTGGTCAGATGGATGGACACTTAGCCTTTTATATATAGAGATTCCTCCCCAACCACAGGTCATTTTAAGAGTGCACTGCTTCTGCTGAAACCAGTTTGGCTCAGTGGATAGAGCATCGGTCTGTGGACTGAATGGTCCCAGTTTCGATTCCGGTCAAGGGCATGTACATTGGTTACGGGCACATCCCTGGTGGGGGGTGTGCAAGAAACAACTGGTCGATGTTTCTCATCAACGTTTCTAGCTCTATCTCTCTCCCTTACTCTCTGTAAAAAATCAATAAAATATATATTTTTTTAAAAATGTGTCTAAACTTATAAAAAATAAAAAAAAAAAATGCACTGCCGAAACTGGTTTGGCTCAGTGGATAGTCAGCCTGCGGCCTGAAAGGTCCCAGGTTCGATTCCGGTCAAGGGCATGTACTTTGGTTGTGGGCACAGCCCCAGTTAGGGGGTGTGCAAGAGGCAGCTGATTGATGTTTCTCATCGATGTTTCTAACTATCCCTCTCTTTTCCTCTCTGTAAAAAAAATCAAAATATATTTTTTAAAAAGAACAAAAGTGCACTGCCTCTTCTCAGTGACGGGACTGGTATTAGTAAATTTTGACTTAAAAATAGGAAAGGATGCATTGAAAGGAAGGTAATTGAGATATGCTGTGTTCATAGAGTGCCATGACACTATTTTTGCTGTATTTAATGGAACTTGGAGAAGAAAATGAAACTCAATAGAAAGTGATAGACCATTTTGTTAGGAGGATTTTGCTGCTTTTGTTAATGGGGAAACACAATGGAGCTTATGTTTTTGTGAAGTTGAGAGAAGAGGAAGTTGAACCTCGCTGGCTATGCAAAACAAAGCTACTGGATTTGCATTCTGTCCTGATGCAGTGAGAGACCTGGAATATCCTGAGTCAGAATGGCTATTTTATTTTATTTTTTATTTATTTATTTTTAAAAATATATATTGATTTTTTACGGAGAGAAAGGGAGAGAGATAGCTAGAAACGTCGATGAGAGAGAATCATCGACCAGCTGCCTCTTGCACACCCCCTACCAGGGATGTGCCCGCAACCAATGTACATGCCCTTGACCAGAATCGAACCTGGGACCCTTCAGTCCGCAGACGGACACTCTACCACTGAGCCAAACCGGTTTCGGCAGCATGGCTATTTTATATTTGAATTGATGAGAGTTATTCACTCTCTTCTCCCTCCTGTAAGATTCTTTAATACCTAAGCAACAAAGCAAAATTAGTTTCTAAACATTTATTGACATAGTAGAATCAATGACAAAGAGCTTGGAAGTTTCTGTTTGATCAAGGGTATATGGGGAATTTATCTTAAATATAGAAATGTTATAACTGATTTGGTTTGTTTTCAAGGAATCAATGCTTTTAACCCCTTGCTGCTACTTTCCTAGAGGCTAACCCCTGGGATGTTTACATGTGACATTCATTCTCACTTTTTTCTCCCTATGTCTCAGGGTTTGACCCTAGTATAATATTAGGTCTAGTAATAACTAATGTCGTTTTCTAATACCTTTTTTAAATCGAATTTATTTAAACAATACAACAAAATTTAATCAACAATATAGTTGCCGTTGTTTTCTATTACTTGTGCCCAACGCTCAGGAAGCATTTTAATCCCTCTGTTGTAAAATTCTTGTGATTTTGATGCAAAAAATTCGGTCAATGCATTTTTGAGGCATTCTTCATTATTAAATTTTTTTCCAAGAAGAAAGTTTTGCAAAGAATGAAACAAATGGTAATCGGAAGGGGCAATATCAGGAGACTTTGCAGGCTGAGGGAGAACTTCCCATTCCAACTGGCGCAGTTTTTCAGCAGTGATTTTTTTTTTTTTTAAATATATTTTTATTGATTTTGTACAGAGAGGAAGGGAGAGAGATAGAGAGTTAGAAACATCGATGAGAGAGAGTCATCCATCAGCTGCCTCTTGCACACCCCCTACTGGGGATGTGCCCGCAACCAAGGTACATGCCCTTGACCGGAATCGAACCTGGGACCCTTCAGTCCCCAAGCCGACGCTCTATCCATTGAGCCAAACCGGTCTTGGCTCAGCAGTGATTCTTGCAGTATGCGGTCGTGCGTTATCGTGGTGAAGAATTACGCCCTTCCGATTAATCAGCGCGGGTTCTTTTTCTCTTAAAGCTTGGGCTAACCTTTCCAATTGGGCACTATACACTGCACTTGTAATGGTTTGGTTAGATGGTAAAAGTTCATAATGAAGAATTCCTTTAAAATTTCACCAAACACACATCACTTTTTTCGCATGCAAGTCAGGTTTTGGCGTGGGCTGCGGAGCCTCATTTTTGTCTAACCATTGAGGCCGCCTTTTCAAATTAACATACAGCACCCATTGTTCTTCTCCGGTAACAATTTGCTCTAAAAATGGCAAACGGTTTTGACGAGAGAGGAGCGAACTGCAAATTGTGACTCTTTGATTACGGTTGTTGTCGGTCAACTCATGAGGAACCCATTTTCCAAACTTTTGGACTTTGCCAAGTGCACGCAATTGATTGGAAATTGTTTTTTGTGAACAATTTAAAGTTGTCGCAAGCTCTTGTTGGGTAATTTGAGGATTTTGCACCAAAAGAGCTTGAAGAACTTCTTGATCAAAATTGGACACACGGCCTCGACCACTCTTGTCATCTAACGAAAAATTTCCCTCGCGAAATTTCTCAAACCAATGCTGGCATTTTCTGGCGCTAACTGCATCTTGATCAAGAGCAGCACAGATGTTTTTTGCAGCCTCACTTGCTTTTCTTCCTAATTGGAACTCGTAAAGCATGCAGTGCCGAATATGCTCTTCATCCGCCATCTTCTTAGCCCTAGTTTTGCAACAAAAACCAAACCAAACACAAACTTTTTCAAGCAAAACTTGTTAATTGCACTTCACACGTTCTGTAGATACCACGTGTTTGAAGGTTATGTCAATACAAGTCAACGCCAAGCAAGATTTTAAACGAATGTTTTAAAACAACATTAATTATTACTAGACCCGATGTATTGAATATAAAATGCTTACTCTATTTGAGCATGATCAAGTTGTATAATTAAAAAAAAAAAGTTGTATAATTCATCTGGTTGTCCTGCATGTCTTGCAAAAGAGTGGGCTTTTAATGTTAAAGTAGTATATGGGCTTTTGTGTCTGTTATGATATCCTTTAGAGTCAGTATGTGCACTGTTGTTTTGTTTTTTTCCAAGCACCTAAAACAGTATTGGTCCTTAGTAGGGCAAATACTTGTTAATTGCATAGGCCAAGAATTCTGTGTAAGATGTATATCTTTGTTTCAATGAATAAATATAGTAGTGGTAATTTTACTGTATTTTTAAAAATATATATCTAATTGATTTTTTCACAGAGAGGAAGGGAGAGGGATAGAGAGTTAGAAACATCAATGAGAGAGAAACATCAATCCCCCAATGGGGATGTGCCCGCAATCAAGGTACATGCCCTTGACCGGAATCGAACCTATGACCATTGAGTCTGCAGGCTGACGCTCTATCCACTGAGCCAAACCAGTTTCGGCAATTTTACTGTATTTTTAAATTTCTGGTAATGCAGATATCCCTTGGTTCATAGATTAGGGTATTTTTTCTGGATGTCTTAACATTGACAAGGCGAGAAGGGTTAACCCAAATAGCAGAAAATAGCAAAAATTTTAAGAAAGAGACTTGAATAAACTTTATTTTGAGGCGGTTCAAGCTTATAGAGAAGCTGAAAGAATGGTCCCCTTAAAGTCTTGTGAACCCACTTGGATTCACCATTCTCATTTACTTTCTATATGTATTACCGAACCATCAGAAATTATTGCAAGCATACCCCTTCCTCTTTGAATATATCAGGTTGTATCTCCTAAAGATATGGGCATTTTCTTGCACAAATCAAATTCAGGGCTTCTAAGATTGGTGTATCATTTTAAAAAATATATATTTTATTGATTTTTCACAGGGAGAGGGATAGACAGAAATATCGATGAGAGAGATACATCGACCAGCTGCCTCCTGCATACCCCCCACCCGGGATGTGCCCGCAACCAATGTACATGCCCTTGACCGGAACCCTTGAGTCTGCAGACCGACGCTCTATCCACTGAGCCAAACCGGTTTCAGCTAAGATTGGTGTATCATTTAATATACAGTCTGTTCGAGTTGTGCCAAATGACTTAATACTAAACAATTTTCCTGTTCCTAATCACCCATTGCATTCAGTTGTCATATCTTTCCAGTTTTCTTTAATTTGGAGCAATTCCTATTTTGTTCTTAATGACAGGAGTTTGAAGAGTACATGCCTGATGTTTAAAGAATGTTCCTTAATTTGGATTATTCTGATTGGTCCCTCATGCTTTTAGTTATGCATTTTGTCACAAATACTAACCTTGGTTCATTGATTACATAGAAGGCACAAGATGTCAGTTTATCCCATTGTTGGTTGTGTTAATTTCTATTTGTTTAAGGTGTCCCCCGGATTTCTGCACTGCAGTTATTTTTTCCCTTTAAAATTAATATTCTGTGGAAGAATATGTTGGAACTCTTATTCCTCAACAAAGCAAATGATCTTAATTTTTTTTTTTTAATCCTTACTAGATAATATTGTTTCCATTGATTTTTAGAGGGAGGGAGGGAGAGATTGGTTCCCTCCCACAAGTACCCCTACCAGGGCTGGGATGCAAATTTGCAACTTAAGATATGTACCCTTAACCAGGAGTCAAACCTTTGACCCTTTGTTGCACAGGCCTAAGCTCTGACCAGATGACCAGGGCAAACACAGTGCTTTTTGCCTGGCTCTTGTGCCTTCCAGATAAGCTGGTATTCTGATTGTTCCCTTCGCCCTGGAGACTCAAGTTCTTTTCATGTGTATCCTAACAATCATTTCACTTTTCCCCAAGTTAGCCAGTTGGGGGAAAGGGGATACCCTTTCCAACTCCCTAAATAAGACTTCTTACAGTCTGTTAATATACTAAAGAATTCTTTCTTATGACCAAATACTTTGGAATGCTGGCACATTAAATTTCTCTCTGCTTAAGTCATAGCAGTACTATAACATTTTTTAAAACTGCAAATGGATATTTATTAGTGGTCAAGATCTCCCCACCAGAAGAGGAAATTTTAGAGAACAATAACCTACTTCTTTTGATTTTGAAATATCACACCTTTTTCTAATTTTTTTTAAAATCACAATGTATACACTTCTACATTTTCATAAAATTCAAATAAAATCCATCTTGACTAGCTTTCTTCCTCTTCCTCTCAGTTTTTTACCTCTTACTCATTAGCTTCTTTAGAGTTCACTACTGTTGATGGTTTACTGGTAACTGTTTACCTCCATGTGTATGCATGTTGAAATGCATGATTTTTATGCTTTTTAGATAAATAAGGTTTTGATATCCTGCAATTTGTAAAATTTTTAATTTGAAGGTCATTCTTTATCTACTGCATAATTTCTATATTTAGGGATGTATTATGGTTTAGTCACTTTAATTCAGGCGTCTTCAAACTATGGCCCGCGGGCCACATGCGGCCCGCAGAGGAGTCTGATCCGGCCCGCCAGGTTTTTTGGGCAGTGAGCGCAGCCGAGGTGTTATAGTAGGAATTAGTAGTTCATATAGTCCGGCCCTCCAGCTCTCTGAGGGACTGTGATCTGGCCCCCACTTTAAAAAGTTTGAGGACCCCTGCTTTTCTGACATCCTTATTGCCAAAATTTGTTGACAATCTGGAAGTATTTGTGGAGTGGTTCAGAGGACCCATAATTCCTTAAAGTAAACCTTACAAGTTAGTTTACGCTTGTGTTATTAAGATAGAACTTGCAGATTTGCCAGTAGTAGTCAAGTCTTAGACTCTGTTTTATTTTATTTTTTATCACACAGAAGATGTATAATTTGGAATATTTAATTTAGTGTTGTTTAAAATAACAGTGAATATGCCGAAATTGGTTTTGGCTCAGTGGTAGAGCGTCGGTCTGCGGACTGAAAGGTCCCAGGTTCGATTCCGGTCAAGGGCATGTACATTGGTTGCGGGCACATCCCCGGTTGGGGGGTGTGCAGGAGGCATCTGGTCGATGATTCTCTCTCATCGACGTTTCTAACTTTCTCTCCCTCTCCCTTCCTCTCTGTAAAAACCAATAAAATATATTTAAAAAAAGTAAAAGAAAACTATGGTACATCTACACAACAGAATACTGTGCTGCTATAAAATAACAGTGAATAACATGTCCAGTAGCTAACGTTCACCATAGGTTTAGTAGGGGAATAGCACCTCGGCACTTAACATTACTGGGCTGAATGAATTACACACACACACACACACACACAATTTTTTATTACTGATTTTCAGAGGAAGAGAGGGAGAGAGAGATTATATCAATGATGAGAAATGGCTGCCTCCTGCACACCCTCTACTGGGGATGGAGCCCACAACCCAGGCACCTACCCTGACTAGGAATCAAACTGTGATCTCCTGGTTCATGGGTCCGATCAATGCTCAACCACTGAGCCACAACAGCTGAGCCCTCATAAATGGTGTAGTAGATCACAGTTTGATACAAAGTAGAGGCTCCTACGTGAGCATAAGCTACAACCTCACCTGGAATTCAGCCATGTCTAGTGGACCAGTGTGGGGAAATCCAATGCACGAAAGAACAAAGATTTTTCTGACAAGATACAGCTTACCTTAAAATACTGAGAATAAGGCAAGTTAACTCAGGAGAAAGCATGGGTCCTTGGAGTTAGAAGTAGCAGAGGTAACTATGGTGATTGCTGTACCTGGAATCCTGAGAGGCAAGGGCCGTAATGGTCAGAAGCAGTGTTAGAAGCACCGAGAACCTCTTTTGTAGGGACACTAGTGAACATGATAATCCTCCTGGTCAGTAATGACAGTAGATATGGGAGGCGACATTGCATGTGGCTGCTCTGTGCCCTGTGCACATAAGTGGGAAATTCCATTAAAGGGAACTATTTGGGAGGAAGAAAGTGGCTCATTTCATGAAGAGTAGGCAGACCTTAGTCATGAGTCAGGTGAGTCATCTGGGGATTCCCAGTATTGGGGAACATTTTGTATGAGACTGGAGAGCCTGCATTAACGTTACGAGTAATCCTAGATGTTCTAATTACATTATGTGAACTTAGACCCCTTAACATCCCGAAAAATAGGTTATCACTCCCACCTTGCTTCCTAAAGACCAGCTGCTTGATGTCACACAAGTAGGAAGTGGCAGGCCTGCTGTCACTGACAGATTAAGTGAAGAATATAATGTGGGGAAATGGATGCTAAAATAAAAGGAAGGACAGGATGGTTGGTCTAAGAGATTTCAGCCTAATCTGTTTTTAATTAACAAGGTTGATTATGTTAACATGATACAGAGGGCTCTCTTTAAATAACCTTCCCTCTGTAAATAGTCTTCCCTTGCCCTAACTGGTTTGGCTTAGGAGATGGAGCATCAGCCTTTGGACTGAAGGGTCCCGGGTTCCATTCTGGTAAAGGGCACATATCGGTTGCAGGCTCATGGCCCTGGTTGGGGCACACAGGAGGCAACCAATTGGTATTTCTCTCTCACATTCGTGTTTCTCTCCGTCTCTCCCTCTCCCTTCCATTCTCTCTAACAATCAATGGAAAAAATAGCCTCAAGTAAGGATTTAAAAAAAAAAAAATAGTCTTCCCTCGATCACAACATCTAACCAGTTAATATTTAATAAAGACCTTAAGAAGCTTACCAGCAGTAATATTACACCATTTTCAAATAAAAGTAAACTAGAGTAAATCAGCTGTGCCTTGATTCTGTTTATGACTACAACTGAATATAAGCTGGCGTTTTTAAACAACAAGCTATATTAATTATGAAGTAACTGTTTGAAAATGTTAAGAACTGGATTTACCTGAAAATGCCCTTGGTTCTGAGTCTGCTGTATTGGCATTGTCTCTTCTGATCAATTTGATTAGAGTATCAGTTGAGTTGCAGACACAAGAGGTTTATGTGTCTGTCTCCCAGAATTGATAGGTCGTGGTGGAGACATACCTAATTGAACAGGATATCCATTCTAGACAGCAGCATAGGTGAGAGCAACAACAGCCTTGACATGGTTGTGTGTCTGCTTGGAATCCACCAGACAGACTGATTCCCTTTCTCCCTCCACCTGCGCCCCCTCTCAACTCTCCCCCCCCATCCCCCCAACACACACACACACACACACACACACACACACACACACACACACCTCCTCCTGTAAACTGCACTAACACTGGCTGGAGTGCTGGCTGATAAGCAGATGGCTTATTGGCAAGCAGCCCAAGCAGATAGAGGCAGAGGATAGACTTATGTCAGGACTTTGGTGAAAGCCAGAAGGACCCCTTGTGGAGGTAGGTCCCCTGGATTTGCTCATATAAATGGGAATGTGCTTTACAGTAGAGCCTGAAAAATCAGTATATCCCCAGATCCCAAATTCTGCAAGAACATTTGGTCACTTTCACTAAATGTCAACTAAGTAGTTTTTACAAAGTTAACAACTCTATAAAAATATGAAATTCATATATATTTGAAAATCTGTCATGTTACACCTTTTTACCTCATTTTTTTCCTTCACTCTCCTTCCATTTTGATTTCACATTAAGTTGGTGAGGACAATTCAGTTTCTTTTTGGGTTTCAATCTTTTTTTTGTTTTTCACTTCCAAACCATGTCACCATCCCTCTTCCTTGGCTGTGGAGACAGGAAAAAAATATCTAGGGCCTCAGCTTGGATTCTTCCTGAAACTCCCATCCTTTTGTCCTTATAGAGTAAACTTTTTAAATTAAATTTATTGATTTTAGAGCAAGAGAGAGAGAAACATCAATTTTGTTGTTTCACTTATTTATTCATTGGTTGATTCTTGTATAATTCCTGATGGGGGATTGAACCTACAACTTTGGCATATCTGGTTAATGATCTTAACCAACTTCATACCTGGCCAGGGCACTTTTCTCCCCTCCTCTTCTCTTTAAATTTATCAAAGTAAGAATTTTGCAGCCTCTTCCTTCTTTCCTGTCTCATAGCTGCTCTGCATCTGATTCCTGAGGTAAATTTAAATTAGCATCATATTTCTTTTTTATTTTTAATTATGATTTTATTAAATTCAGAGAAGAAGGGAAAGAGAGAGATAGAAACATCAATGATGAGAGAAAATCATTAATCCGCTGCCTCCTGCACGCTCCCTACTGGAGATTGAGCCTGCAATTCAGGCATGTGCCCTTGACCTGAATCGAACCTGTCCACTGAGCCAAACCAGCTAGGGCTACTTATCTTTTCAGTCACCTTGTGAACAAGCCTGAACTAGCCTATTTGAGGACGAGACCCTAAATAGAGTAATGGAAAGAGGCCCGGCTGTTACAGCCATCCCAGCTAAAACTGCTGACATGGAGTGAGGGCTGCAAATGCATGTCTTCAAAGAGCAGAACCACCAAGCTACCAGCAAGCCCAGATTACACTGCCAAACTAAAGAATGGGAACAAATAAATGCTTGCTTCACATCACCAAGTTTTGGAGTGGGTTGTTCCTCAGCAAAAGATACGGATGCAAGCTTAATTATGCCCTCAATCTAGTTAATAAAAAGCATTTCCAAGTAAACTAGCAACTGCACCTAGAAGTGACCTACACCATGCCAAAAAGAGTTAATGGGTAAATGGAACTGTTAAGCATTATTTTCTTTTATTGATCAGTTTCATTCAAGTTCCTATGCTAAAAACTTTCAGCACATTTCTCAGAATTAGCTTTCTATGATAGCTTTACTCTGTGAAAAAAAATTTTTTTCTTTAGTGTTCCAATAAAATAATAAAATAATACTTTATCTGGCGTTTTAAAGGAGAGTAGTCTCCATTTCTCTAATTTTCACCCTATTGAGTATTTAACCATAGAGTTTAAAGTCAAAGACAGGAAAAAAAAAAAAAAAAAAGATACATCTTTTTAGGCCAGATGTGAAATGCTGAGGAAAACTGGAGATAATAGAAAGCTTTTCTTGGGCAACCAGGATCCTCTTTCAGTGAAAGTCTGATGTGACAAGGAACAGGAAAGAGCAGGAGAGCTACACAAGTAGGAGAGACAAGGCCATTTAAACAAGGTTTTTGAAGCTATTTAATTTGCCAGCACCAGTTCTTCTAATTCTATGTGACCAGGAGGGCCAGGATTAAAAATCAGTTTATTTTCTCTGATAGTCTAATGGTATAATACTTTAGATGTTTCCATTCCAAATTTCCTGTATCTTATAATTTTTTTTTTCTTTTTATAAAGTTTCCACTGAGCCAAACCTGTTAAGGGCAGTGGTCAGCAAACTCATTAGTCAACAGAGCCAAATATTAACAATACAACGATTGAAATTTCTTTTGAGAGCCAAATTTTTTAAACTTAAACTTCTAACGCCATTTTTTCAAAATATACTCGCCCAGGCTGTGGTATTTTGTGGAAGAGCCACACTCAAGGGGCCAAAGAGCCACATGTGGCTTGTGAGCCAGTTTGCTGACCACTGGGTTAGGGCTTATAATTTTTTTTTTTTTTAAAAGAAGGACAATACATCTTTTCCCTTGTTTTTTTTTTTTTAAAATATATTTTATTGATTTTTCACAGAGAGGAAGGGAGAGGGATAGAGAGTTAGAAACATTGATGAGAGATAAACATCAACCAGCTGCTTCTTGCACACCCTTCACTGGGGATGTGCCCGCAACCAAGGTACATGCCCTTGCCCGGAATCGAACCCGGGACCCTTCAGTCTGCAGGCCGACACTCTATCCACTGAGCCAAACCAGTTTTGGCTTTTCCCTTGTTTTTAAAAATATTTTCATTGATTTCAGAGAGGAAGAGAGAAACAATGATGAGAGGGTATTATTGGTTGATTGCCTCCTGGATGGGCCTCCCACTGGGGTTAAGCCCATAACCCAGGCATGTGCCCTTGACTGGAATCGAACCTAGGACCCTTCAGTTCACAGGCTGACACTCCATCCACTGAGCCAAACCAGCTAGTGCTACAATTTTATTTTGCAACAATTTTCTTTTTCTTTTTCTTTTTTTTTTTTTTTAAAGACAAATTTATGTCACAGAGGTAGTCATGATCAAATGGGATAATGTGGAAAACATCTCATATTTAGTACATGTTCAGTAATTAATAACAGTTTCCTTTTTTTAAAACTATATTTTCATTGATTTCAGAGAGGAAGGAAGAGGGAAATACAGAAACATCAATGATGAATCACTGATTGCATGTACACCCCTACTGGGTATTGAGTCCACAACCTGGGCATGTGCCCTTGACCAGAATCGAACCTGGACCCTTCAGTCCGCAGGTTGACGCTCTATCCACTGAGCCAAACCATGTAGAACAGGGCTATAATTTTCTTAATCAGAATTGTAGGTCAGGATCTCCACTCATGCTGTGATCTGTCCGTGGTACTTGGCAAACTCACTAGCAAATGTGAAAAGATTCCCAGACAGCCATGAAAGTACAGTCAATTTAAAGCTATCTGAGGTGGGAAAGCAGTGTGGAAATCACACTGAGACATTTGTTTAGGTTTGGGTAGCCCTGGTAAAGTAAGACTGCAAGGATATAGCAAAACACACACACCTTCCCAACTCTGTAATTTTTAGGGTGGAATTGTATATGGTAGGATTCGAAGGAAGCTAAAAAGACAATTAAATGGAAAAAGACAAGTGGCAGTTACAGTTGACAAGAAAATTGTGTCATTACATTTTTGAAAATATTTTTTTATTGATTTCAGAGAGGAAGGGAGAGGGAGAGATAGAATGATGAGAATCATTGATTGGTTGCCTCCTGCATGCCCCACACTGGGGTTCAATCCCACAGCCCTGGTGTGTGTCCTGACCGGGAATTGAATCATGACCTTCTGGTTCATAGGTTGACACTCAAACACTAAGCCATGCTGGCTGGGCTCATTACTTTTGAAGGTCTTCAAAGTGAGCTACCTTTCTTTTTTTGAGATAACATGTTTCCCTCCTGAGGTTGAAAAGTTCTGGCCTTTAGACTTGTGATGGGTTCAGAGAGGAAGTACTGTACAGTGGTTAAAAACATGGGTGGGGGCTGACGGGCTTGTTCTGTATTCTGATTATTAAATGAACCTATACAGATATTAAAACCCATAGGACTATATATCAAAAGGAAAACAAGCCAATTTTACTGTATAATTTAAAAAACCCACATGGATGCTGGTTTAAATCAATCACTTATTAGTTGTGTAACCTGGGGCAACTTATTTGTGTCTCGTGTGCTCATCTGTAAATGCAGGTAATAATACATCCTGCATGGGGTTGTAAAGATTCAGTTAATGTATGTAAAGCACTTTGAATAGTTCTTAGCTCAACACAAGAGCTAGCTACTATCCTATATAATAAAAGTCTAATATGCTAAGTGTCCGGTAGACCAGTCGGCTGTTCAACCAATCAAAGCATAATATGCAAAGGATATGCTAAGGCTGCTCAACTGCTTGCTATGACATGCACTGACCACCAGGGAGAAGATGGTCTGATGGGTAAGTTAGCTTGCTGCTGGGGTCCACTGATCAGGACTGAGCGAGATGGGCCAAACACGCTCTGGAGCCCTCATGTGGTCCCTCCCTGGCTGGCCAACCTCATGTGTCTCTTCCGGCCCTGATGAGATTTCTCGGCCTGGCCTGCATCCTCTCGGAATCCAGGGTCTATTGGGGGATGTCAGAGAGCTGCTTTTGGCCCAATCCCACAGGACAGGCAGATGGGCCTCACTGGTGCACGAATTCATGCACCAGGCCTCTAGTTACTATATAAAAGAATAATAAAATATGTGGGCTATCATGATTATTGAAACTATGAGTAGCCTGAAATATAACTATCATGAAGTACTACTGCCTTTATGCAAGAAAGGAAGAAACCCTAGAAAAGTGTAATTGAAATCTGTTCTGTTGCTATTGTCCAAGGAAGACATAATCTAACCAATCAATCAATCAAATTCCCTCATTCTCCTAATTCATTTATTCATGTATTCATTGAATGCCCATTTTCTACGGACATTCTGAAAAGAAACTATTTGGCAGGCTTTCACTGATAGTGTGTTCTTTAGCACATGTGTGTGTCTTTTTTGTGTGGCCTTAGTTTTCTCAAATTTACTTCAGCTACTGGCCAAAGGTACTGACAATGTCTGTTAGTAAGCATCATACCTATTGCATCTACCAATGAAATATTAAGACCCAATACATTCTTCCACTAGATTGATTCTGAGAATTATTTGGGAAGTAAAAGGAAGCTTTTGAAAAGAAGAAATTGCCCTAACCGGTTGACTCAGTGGATAAAGTGTCAGCCTGTGAACTCAAGGGTCCCGGGTTCGATTCCGGTCAAGGGCATGTGCCTTGGTTGCGGGCACATCCCCAGTGGGGGGTATGCATGAGGCAGCTGATTGATGTTTCTCTCTCATCGATGTTTCTAACTCTCTATCCCTCTACCTTTCTTAAAAAATCAATAAAAAATATTTTTTTAAAAAGCAGAATCAGGAGGTTCAAGCAATGGTTGTGTGTTTTTTTTTGTGTGTGAATATATATATATATATATATATATATATATATATATATATATATATTTTTTTTTTTTTTTTTTTTTTTTTACAGAGAGGAAGGGAGAGGGATAGAGAGCTAGCAACATCAATGAGAGAGAAACATCCATCAGCTGCCTCCTGCACACCCCCCACAGGGGATGTGCCAGCAACCAAGGTACATGCCCTTGACCGGAATTGAACCTGGGACCCTTCAGTCTGCAGGCCGAAGCTCTGTCCACTGAGCCAAACCGGTTTCAGCACAATGGTTGTTTCAAGGATGATCTAGATAAACTCAGAAATATTCATATCATGAAACTCCTTTACTACATATATTTTCAAAGAGAAAATAAGGATGCTCTTTGACATGAAGGGAAACCATGAGGCATCATTCCTAAAAAGATGTTTAAGTATTAGTCTTGAACCATTTCCTACTCACTACAGGGCATCGGTGGGGCAGACATGACAGAGAGACACTAAGAGCAGGCAGAGGTGCTGTCTATTGGAGTCACATGAGTCTGAAGTCTTGTTTTTAATGTTTAAGCATTACTCTTTGACAGTTGAGAGAAAACAATCCCCCAGGGAGAAGGAAAGCAGCCAAGACAAAATGGAACAGTCTGAGAAAGAATGGAAATGATTCTATGGCTCCAGGAGGCAGAGCCAAGTGGGAGGGGAGCCAGGGTAAGTGCTCAGAGGCTGTCTACGAAACAGCTCTCCCAGCACCGGTGACCACTCAGTGAGGCAGTAACAACGCTGCCACGGCTGGCACAGCTGAAGCTCCAAGTTAGTCATCTGCAGAAAACTAATCTTGATCTCCATTTTGAAGACGTGTCTGAATGATCAAAAAACACAAGCGCACAAGCTTGCATGTGTACTCCACTTCTTGGTGGCCATGGGAAGTGAGTGTCGAAAGGAACAAACAAATTTAGACTCTGGGGAAATACACAGTAAAGCTTTAAAGATCAGTACGGCTTGCCATTTATGGTGATTAAAAATACAAAATGAGTTAAACTTAATTTTGTCTCAGTGACCTAAAAGAATACTGCTGCTTTAAAGGGGGGAAAGGAGGTGTAACTTTAAAAAATAAAACTGACTTGAGCCATGCCGCGGTGGCTCCGTGGGTGAGTGTAGAACTATGAACCAGAACCAGGAAATCACGGTTCGATTCCCAATCAGGGCATATGCCTGGGTTGGGGGCTCAATCTTCAGTGTGGGACGTGCAGGAGGCAGCCCATCAGTGATTCTCATCATTGGTGTTTCTATTTCTCTCTCTCCCTTTCCCTCACCCTCTGAAATCAATAAAAATGTATTAAAACAAAAAAACTTCTGAGTTTAATATTACATTGGAGTAAAAAAGCTCTTTAGTGGCACATACTTTGTCTCTTTAGGTGTCACGAATACAAAGAGGTGACATATTGAACACCACAGGGCTGCAGAGCCAAGTAAATGACCTAATAGAAACTTGCTTTTTAGTCACTCAGAACAACCTATTCTGTGGAAGTGAGGGGGCTGTCCTGACAGCGTCAATGATTACTGATTCAAGGGAAGTCTTGATACTCCTACTAAGGGATTAAGAAGTATCAGTAAACAGACTAAAGCTAAGAAACCAGTATAATAACAGAATTTTCTTAAAAGCACAATCCACTGTGTAAAAGCACAATCCACTGTGTAACTGTGATCTGGGCTGCGTTAGGCTGGCAGGATATGAAGTAAATTAATGCCAGATCCCAGCAGAAGTCCTTGACCGTCTAGGCATGGTGTTTTTTGTGTGAGGTTTCAGAACCACCCATTTCCTGCCTTTTGACTGAGAATCATAAAAGGTTCAGACTGAGAAAAATCTGCCATTTCCTCACTTTATAGGTGAGACAATAACTAGGGATACAAACTTATTTAGTAGTGTTTGAAACTCCTAGCAAAGCACCTTGGAACACTTTAATATATGCCTCAGTCAGACTTTCTGAAACAAAAGCATTGAGTTTTAGAGGCAAAAGACCTGAGAATATGTTAATGTTTACAAATGGAATCTTTGGCCAGCTGGTGGGCTAATGGTCGTGCATGGACCCATGAACTAGGTCATGGTTTCATTCTCATGCCTGGGTTGCAGGCTTGATCCCCAGTAGGGGGCATGCGGGAGGCTCTTGATCAATGATTCTTATCATTAATGTTTCTAACCCTGTCTCCTCCCATTCTCTCTCTGAAATAGAACAAACAAAAAAAAACCAACAAAAACCCTCACAAAACTTTAAAAGCCTAGACAGAAGAAGAGAGAAATGTTTTACTTTTTGAAATATATACTTAGAAGTTATCAATGATAGCATCAGTTTTTAGGTTCTGTATTTCTCTGTAAATGCCAATTTTACAATATTTCCTTCATTTTACCTAAAGAGTCAGGCCTAAGCTTCAAACTATGAACAGTAGAAAGGAATATAATGCTATAATTGAACTTTTAAAATTCAATTTTACATTCTGTCCATAATGAAAAACTAGAGCCCTGACCAGTTTGGCTCAGTGGACAGAGCATCTGCCTGCGGACTGAAAGGTCCCAGGTTTGATTCCGGTCAAAGGCATGTACCTTGGTTGCAGGCACATTTCCAGTAGGGGGTGTGCAGGAGGCAGCTGATCGATGTTTCTAAGTCTCTATCCTTCTCCCTTCCTCTCTGTAAAAAATTAAAAAATCAATAAAATGTATTAAAACAAACAAAAATAATGTTCTCTGTCGATGTGTATCCTCTAGCCCCCTTTTCTCTAAGGCAGCGGTTCTCAATCTTTCTAATGCCGCAACCCTTTAATTCAGTTCCTCATGTTGTGGTGACCCCCACCCATAAAATTATTTTCGTTGTTACTTCAGCAGCGACCCACAGGTTGAGAACCGCTAGCAGGGTCACCTAAGACCATTGGAAAACACAGATATTTACATTACGATTCATTAACAGTAGCAAAATTAGTTATGAAGTAGCAACAAAAATAATTTTATGGTTGGGGGGTCACCATAACATGAGGAACTTTATTAAGGATCGAAGATTTTGAAAGGTTCAGAGAGAAGGGGGCTAGAGGATACACATCGAAAGAGAACATTGTGCTAAATCTGAGTCAACAGGAAATTCATGGATCTGACCGCAATTCAAGCCAATGTATCCCACTAGCATTTATCTCAACTCTGGGATCTGGGACATGACTCGCCAATTGTTCATTGTATTTAGCTAGGAATAATAAAAAGGCATAAACTTCTGATTAATGTAATATTATACAGTATATACAAATGTTAAAATAGTTAAATTCTCTGACAGTTGTAGAATAGACTATGGTTACTAGAAAGTCACAACTTGAATCCTTCTGTACTAAGATTTTTCAGACACTTTTAAGTCATGTAAGGTAAACCTCTGCTTGCTCTCGTGTCCATTCTCCTCTTAGGTAATAAAAATGGTCCCTATTTCCCCCTACATCTTCCGGCTTTCTTGTGGGTGGGTTTATGGCAATGTGACTGTTGATCCACCAATGGTCTATGTGAAACGAAGGATGCAACTGCCGGGTTTTGCCTGCTTCTGTTAAGCAGGGGAGCTGCCGGCTCTTCATCTCTGTTCCTCTTCCCTCTCCCTGGAAAAGGATGGCCACTTGAACAAGCACCAGAGACCTAGAGATGGGAGCCATGTAGTGTCTCACCAACTGGATCCTTGGATGACTACAAGGTACAGAGCCACCGACTCACTTGTATCTTATTTTGGAGAAATGGATTCTCTGCCACTTTTTCATATGCCAATTGCTAAGTGGTTCTCTCATTCAGATTCCAAATAAGAAATGACATCTGGTCTCAATAAAAAAAACAATAGTGAGAGAAACTTGAATGTAGCAGAACTCCTTTTTAGGCATATTTGGGTCACACATGCATACATACACCCTACAAAAAACACAAATAGGCATAGTTCTGAGTAGTTAAAAAGGATGGGCGCACAGGGCAGCTTTATTATAGCTATATAGTTAATATCAGCATGAGCAAGGTCAACTTCATATTTTCATGTTTTTCTTCTTCTGCAGATTGCACACAAGAGAAGGAAGCTTCTTGGTTTTATAGGCCACAGTTCCTTTGATGCGATCTCCTTTGATGTTAACGATATGTGGCAGGAGAGGTGGCCGGACCGTCAACACTGTTCCTTGAGGTGTATAGGCTCGGAGATGTAGTCTGTCTTTAAATTGAGGCGTTACTGCAACCCAACCTATGCAGGCACGCAGCAGAACACAATATGGTGTTAGCAACTCTCTCCCCTTGCCCCCACTGTCACAATCATGCAGTTGGGTTTCCCACATTTGGAGAAATCACAGGGGTCAGCACATCTGGAGTGCAATGGATAAGCCTCGCCCTGGGAAGACCACCTTTCATGATCATGGTATCTCCCTTGCCAGGTATATTAGTTATCTTATCGAAAACACTAAACTAAAGCTTAAAATGGAGCCTGGAAGAGGCTACCGTTCTTCCTTTCTTTTCTTTTATAAAAAAATATATTTTACTGATTTTTTACAGAGGAAGAGAGAGGGATAGAGAGAGAGAAACATCAATGAGAGAGAAACATCAATCAGCTGTCTCCTGTACATCCCCCACTGGGGATGTGCCCGCAACCAAGGTACATGCCCTTGACTGGAATTGAACCTGGGACCTTTCAGTCCGCAGACCGATGCTCTATTCACTGAGCCAAACTGGTTTCAGCAAGGCTACTGTTCTTTCACTCTGCATTTTAAAAAAGCATCCCATGCATTTGTGAAAGGTACAAATTTATTTTCAGAGAAGGTTGCATTTTATGAATTATCTAGCATGTATATCTTTTTTTTTATTTTTAACTTATTATTTTTTTAAATATATATTTTGTTGATTTTTTTACAGAGAGGAAGGAAGAGGAATAGAGTTAGAAACATCGATCAGCTGCCTCTTGCACACTCCCTACTGGGGATGCGCCCGCAACCAAGGTACATGCCCTTGACCGGAATCGAACCTGGGATCCTTCAGTCCGTAGGCCGATGCTCTATCCAATGAGCCAACCCAGTTTTGGCTAGCATGTATATCTTAAAATACTCACCTTATGTTAAGATACATTTCCTCAAAAATACAAAAAGGCTACTTCATTCATATTAAAAAAAAAAGTGCTTGGTGCCCTGGCCAGTATGGCTCAATTGGTTGGGCATCGTTCTGTGCACCAAAAGGTTGCCAATTTGATTCTGGGTCAGAGCAGATGCCTGGGTTTGGACAGATCCCCAGTAGGGGGCATGCAGGAAGCAGCTCATCCATGTTTCTCTTTCACATTAATGTTTCTTCCTCTTTCTCTCTCTCCCTCTCTAAAATCAATACAAACATTAAAAAAAAAAAAAAAAAAAAAAGTGCCTGGTATAAAATTACCTGCAGAGGAAAACTTGATGTCAGCCACTGCTTCCGAATTCTCAAGTCCTTCTTTTAATGTGATGTCTTCAGCAACAAGAGGAGGAAATTCTGCCATTCGCTCTTTTCCACCCATTGGAACCTTTCATTGAGATAAAATGAAGATGTTTGGAAGTACAAATTAAATTCCCTATAGCGCTAATATAAAGTAAAGCACTGACAAAGGTAATTTTGTACATGATCAAGAATAAAATCCTTTTAAACATTAATGGTTGAAAAAGCCCCAAATCACTTCTAGTTAAATGAAAAGCACAGGAAGCCTATAGTTCCCAGTGTCAAGGGTCACATGTGGATGGTGACTCCTGATAGCAAGATCTGCTTTATTAGTTTACACTATTTTTACAGCCCCCTATACAACTCTACAAAGAGTAATGTTGGGAAATTAAGGCAACATCATTCCAAATACTTTAGCGCTTAAGAGTCCTGTCTGCCCACAAAGATTAACCCCTGCCTCATGACAAGTCAAGATTACACATATAAAGATTCAGTGTCTATGCTTACAGATGTTTCCATAATTTGGAATTGACTGGATAGTAATCTATTTATATAAAAGCCTAAGTGACCAGACAACTTGCAGACTGTCCGGTACCTATGACACACACTGACCACCAGGGGGCAGATGCTCAACGCACGAGTGGAAACCACAGGCATGGAAACATGGAACAGACTGATGAATCTCAGAGGAAAGTGGGGAGGTGAGAGGGCAGGAAGAGATTAACCAAAGATCTTATGTGCATACTAGAGGCCTGGTGATCCCTTGGCCTGGCCTGGGGGGATAGGGCCAAAACTGGCATGGTGCATGGATTCTTGTACCAGTGGGGTCCCTTGGCCTGGCCTGCAGGGATTGGGCTGAAACCAGCTCTCTGACATCCCCTCAGGAGTCCCGGATTGTGAGAAGGCACAGGCCAGACAGAGGGACCCCACCGGTGCACGAATCCATGTACCGGGCCTCTAGTTTATTAATAGATGTCTCTGTGTTTAGCAGTAGGGACACAAAGATAGATGTTAGAGTATAGTCTCATGCCCCAAGGAAATCAGAAGGTGAAAATAATAAGTAATCTAAGTGCAAAGTAAGAAATGTGATGAGAGGCATAGTTTATGTATCATGATTGTGGAGGCAGTACTGACATTTTGGACCAGGTAATTCTGTGTTGTGAGGGGCTGTCTTGTGCACTGCAGAATGTTTAACATCATCCTTGGTCTCTACCCACTTGATGCCAGTAGCACCCCCCAGTTGTGAGAAAATCTGTAACTTCTCTTCACTCAGCATCATCCAATACAACTTTCTGCAATGATGTGACTACTGAGCAGTTGAAAAGTGGCTAGTGCAACTGAAGAACTAAATTTTAACATTTATTTAATTTTAACTAATTAATTTAAATGTAAATAGCCACATGTGGCTACCATATTGAACAGTATTGTCGGGAAAACACAGCTCAGTAGTTATTCTAGGATCAGTCCAACATCCCTTTTCTTTTCTTTTTTAAAAATTTTTAAAAAATATATTTTATTGATTTTTTACAGTGAGGAAGGGAGATAGAGAGCTAAAAACGTTGATGAGAGAGAAACATCGACCAGCTGCCTCTTGCACACCCCCTACCCGGGATGTGCCCGCAACCAATGTACATGCCCTTGACCGGAATCGAACCTGGGACCTTTCAGTCCGCAGACCGACGCTCTACCACTGAGCCAAACCGGTTTCAGCCCAACATCCCTTTTCTTAAAGGGTGCACGTCACTTCCTAGCCAAATCCTCAAGGCGAACAAGGTGAGGGGAGAGCTTGCTGACTGTATAACAAAGATGGTTCTAACAAAGGCTTTCTTAGCAGAGCTGTGGGACTATCGCGGTGCATGCTAACCTAACCATGCCATCAGCAGAGTGTGTCGCCTTACCTTGAGTAATGTGTCACCTGCGTGCTTCTGATATATAGCATCTGCCTTCTCCAAGCAGGTAATGTGCACAGGAAGGAAGTTGGAAGCAACTACTGTAAACCATGCTGACTGATTTCCCTTAAGAAAGAAAGAAGTTATTTTACACAATGAAAAACTTACAAAACCAGCAAAAGGCACAATTAAAAACAACAAGAACACAGCTCCCTTATAAGCATATTAATGTAATAAAACTATATTAATGCCTAAGAATAAGGGTACAATATGGCAGAAGCTGTGCATTTCAACAATTGATGTAAAACTATAATTCCTTCTCATAGGCTTATTGATAATTGTTTAAAGAAATGGTAATTTTATTTTTAAAATACATTTTTTTTTAATTTTTTTACAGAGAGGAAGGGAGAGGGAGAGAGAGTTAGAAACATCGATGAGAGAAAAACATTAATCAGCTGCCTCCTGCACACCCCCTACTGGTACATACCTTTGAATGGAATTGAACCTGAGACCTTTGAGCCCGCAGGCCAACGCTCTATTCACTGAGCCAAATCAGTTAGGGCAATGATAATTCCATTAAAAACAAAGGGAAATATTGTCTGCTTCAACTGTCACTGTTTAAAAAATTAACTTTCTATGAGCTTCAAAGAAATATATAAGGGTTTTAAGTGTGTAAAGATAAATTTCCAATAAATTATGAACAAACACCAAACCCAAGAAATGTACTAAAGCAATGGCCTGGAAATTGCAAAATGTGTTGTTGAACATATCCATGTTTCACTTTCCTTGTTCGGGGAGCAGTTCTATAGATACTCTAAAATCCCCAGAATGATGCGATATAAATGAACTCCAAACAAAACCATATGTAAAAGCATACATAACATGGGATATAAAGAAGTATGTACTTTATTTAATGCATATTAACCCTGTACTTAAAGGTTTGACCAATGATTTCCCCGTGAAACAATACCACAGGATAGGGCCAGTATCTTTTCTTAATGCTAAGCTGTATGGGGCCTGAGCATCCTATTGAAGATATAGTTTTAAGCCCAACTACTATATTTCCCCCCCATTGATTTTACCAAGTTTTTAGAATGGGTATTTAAAAAAAAAAGAGAGAATAGTATATCAATGCCCCACATAGTTATGATCAGCATTTTGTCAATCTTGTTCATAAATCTGCTTCCTTAAAATAAATCTGAAAACTGTCACACTTTTTAAAATTGATTTCAGAGAGGGAGGGAGAGAGATAGGAACATCAGTGATGAAAGAGAATCATTGATTAGCTGCCTCCTGTATGCCCCACACTGGGGACCAAGCCTGCCACCCAGGCATGTGCCCTGACCAGGAATCCAACTATGACTGCCAGATTCATAGGTCAACACTCGACCACTGAGCCACACCAGCTGGGCACTAAGCAACTTTTTAATGATACAGACTTCCCTTACCTGCAGAAAGTCTATGCGTCCTAAGGCACCCAAAAATAGAACCATTCCAGGTTTAAGCACAAAAGTTCGTGGAATAATGGAGTGTGTTGGCAAGACAATATTCACTTCTTTTTCTGTTAGAAGTTTTAAAATCTGTGAATTAAAGGGCAGATATATTGGAAGAATTACTTTTATAAAGATATATGATTTACCTAAGAGATAAACAGTGATGAAAGAAAATATTCCAGACTTCACAATAAACCAAAGTATATTATAATTTGCTGCACATTACTCGTTTCACTACTTTATCTTGAGTAACGACAAAATAAATTTATGAGATTTTCTTTCTTATGTCAGCAGAATCCCCCTAATGTCAAAACTGGCACGAACTCAAAACAATGATGATTCAATTCTAAAATAGAATTCCAAGGCTTATAGGGAGCAGTAGTTTTTAGCCAAAGGTAAGGTAATAAGTTATCTTATGTCCTAGTGGCAAGTATGTACAAGTTAAATGCAAAATGGTCACAGCATTTTAGGAGCAGGTTAAGAGCTTAAACAAGCTCTTCCTAAATTCTGGTCTTTGCCAAAGCTGGTTTGGCTCAATGGTAGAGCGTCGGTCTGCGGACTGAAAGGTCCCAGGTTCAATTCCGGTCAATGTCATGTACATTGGTTGCGGGCACATCCCCAGTAGGGAGTGTGCAAGAGGCAGCTGGTCGATGTTTCTCTCTCATCGATGTTTCTAGCTCTCTATCTCTCTCCCTTCCTCTCTGTAAAAAATCAATAAAAATATATTTAAAAAAAATTCTGGTCTTTAGTTTCCTTATTTCCCCCAAATATTCAGAAAGTTATGAATCCTCTGGCTTCTAAGGATGAAGAGTTCCAAACAGACTAGAGAAAATAGAAAAGGAAAGCCAGGAAGTACAATATTCCGGAACCAAAATTTGATTTAACAAGAAAAAGAATAGGGAAGGTAAAAAAAAAAAGGGAAAAAAGAAAACTTTTGTGAACTTGCTTAAAGAAATAGAAAGTATGGGCTACCATCCTGGCTAGGTGGCTCAGTTGGTTGAAGCGTCCTCCTATAAGTACAAAGTGGTGTGTTCGATTCTAGGGCATATACCTAGGTTGTAGGGTTCAATTTTCCGTTAGGGCATGTGTGAGAGAGAAGCAACCAATGGATATTTCTCTCATCCTTCCTCTCTCTAAAAAATTTTTTTTTAAAAAGTGATACCTAGAGAGGCTCACAAGAAAATACATAAGATGACTGCAATTAGTTTTCCCCAGCATTTGTGTTTGAAAAGCATATTAAAAGCCACTTGCAGCCCAGCTGGCATGGCTCAGTGGTTGAGCATTGAAATTTGAACCGGGAGATCTTGGTTCAATTTCTAGTCAGAGCTCATATCTGGGTTGTGGGTTCGATCCCCAGTAGGCGGTATGCAAGAGGCCTCCAATCAATGATACTTTCTTATCATTGATGTCTCTCTCTCTCCTTTCTTCTCTCAACTAAAAAAAACTACCTGCAGTAAAGAAACCTTTAAATTCTTTTTAGACCCTAAGACTTTCATTTCACCACAGAATTTCTTGGTTCGGTTTGGGAAACTGATTTAAGGCATCAAATAAATTAATCAAACAAAGTGACACTAGAAGCAAAGTACCTTAAACACCTTAAAGACCCTTTATATCTCAACACTTAAGTGTCTGATTCTGCTGGGCTAGAATATTTAGCAAATTCTTGCCTTTCTGACTATTTGACAAGTGAGTATGACTAAAGTAACTGCTATTCTTTTTTTATTTTATTTTAAAAAAATATATATTTTATTGATTTTCTTCCAGAGAGGAAGAGAGAGGAATAGAGAGTTAGAAACATTGATGAGAGAGAATCATCGATCAGCTGCCTCTTGCACACCCCCTACTGGGGATGTGCCCGCAACCCAGGTACATGCCCTTGATCGGAATCGAACCCACTACCTTTCAGTCTGCAGACCGACGCTCTACCACTGAGCCAAACCGGTTTCGGCAGTAACTGCTATTCTTGACCTGATTCTAAAAGGGAAACATGAGTTGAAGTTAAAGTGATAATACAATTCTGAGAATGAAACTCTTAAGTAATCCTGATGAGGCAAAGGAAGGAAAAGTACCTAAGAAACCAATGTTGTTTCACAGGGAGATACAGAGATTACAGAGATAATTAGGTGAATTAGATTTTGGTCAGTAACCAGATTCAAAGGAAGGTGATTAATACATCTGCAGTAAGGCTGTATCCTGGATGTACACTCGAGTCAACAAATGGACGATGATCATTCATGATATCAAAACTGTAAATAAATAAAAAGTGAGACTTAAAAAGTATGTAGAATATAGGTTGAATTTAATGATAGGATCAAAGCTGCTCAGGAGATACTGCAATTGGATTAAAAAGATGTACAAGGGGCCCTAGCCAGTTTGCCTCAATGGACAAAGCATTGGCCTGCAGACCAAAGGATCCTGGGTTTGATTACAGTCAAGGGAAAGTACCCTGGTTGCAGGCTCTTCCCTGGCCCGGGCCCTGGTCAGCATGTGCAGGAAGCAACCAATCGATGTGTTTCTCTCACATCCATAGCTCTCTGTCTTTCACTTTTTTTTTTTTTAAATATATTTTATTGATTTTTCACAGAGAGGAAGAGAGAGGGATAGAGAGAAACATCGATGAGAGAGAATCATCGATCAGCTGCCTCTTGCACACCCCTACTGGGGATGCGCCCGCAACCAAGGTACATGCCCTTGACCGGAATCGATCCTGAGACCTTTCAGTCCCCAGGCCTACGCTCTATCCACTGAGCCAAACCGGTCCCGGCTTTCACTTTCTTTAAAAAAAAAAAAAAAAGAAAGAAAAAAGAAAAAAGAAAAAAAAATCTATGGGAAAAAAATGTACAAGGGGAAGACAGGTAGAATTAATCCTGTTCTAAATTATGCTGAAATGAGAGCACTCATACAAAAAATTCCATTATTTTTATTTTTAAAATCCTCACTGGAGAGATTTATTGACTAGAGAGAGAGGAAGCGGGACAGAGAGAGAGAAAATACAGATGGGTTGCCTCCCATATGCACCCTGATCAGGAATAGAACCTGCAACCTTTTTGGTGTATGGGACGATGCTCCAACCAACTGAGCCACCCGGCCAGGGAAAGAGAAATCCCATTCTTAGAGTCATACTTTTAACAACAATCACAAATTAGAAAACATTCTTAAACGGGCCTGGTTAATGACCAGCTATCTCTCAGAGAGAAAATGTAGAAAATAAGGACAAATAACCTGGATTATGTCAGCATAGAAAATATTCAATGTTTGTTGGATGAACTAATGAAAGAACATAGGGAGGAAGAGATAGGACGTTATACTTTAAAATATTTCAAAGTTTTGAGGAACAACGGGTACAAGTTATAGGAAGACTGTTCAGATCAATACAAAGAGAAGGTCAAAATCACACAGGTTACCCTGGGAGGCAAGATGACATTGTTTCAGCTGATGAGGAGTCACTCCTTACTTCAGTTCAAGCTTGGTGCCCTCTGATGGATATGCTATAGAGGTACTTCAAGCATGAAATAGGTGGCTGGACTGTAGTAATATTTATAATTTCTTCCAACCTCAAAATCTAAGATTCTATAAATGTCTCCCTAACTAAGGTAACAAGCACAGAAACACAAGTAGGGTGTCAGTAGCAAAGCCCAACAAATTAAATATAGAACTTGATGGCATATAGTTTCATCCCTGAACCATTTCCATGAATGAATCAAAACTGAGTCTATCATGAAAATATATCTCCTTTTTTTGTGTTCTACCAATTAAGACAGTACTCATGCAACTGAAAGTTAATGTTCTTACAGTTCAAGTGCCTAACAGTTGAAGAGTGGATAAAAAAGCTGTGGTACATTTACACTATGGCATACTACGTAGCTGTAAAAAAGAAGGAACTCTTACCCTTTGTGACAGCATGGATGGACCTAGAGATTATATTATGATAAGCAAAATAAGCCATTTAGAGGAAGATAAATATCACCTGATCTCTCTTATACGTAGAATCAAAAGAACAAGATAGGACTAGAGGCATAAATAAATAGAATAGACTGACAGATCACAGAGGGGAGGATGGGAAGAGAGCAATCAAAGAATATATATGCATATATGTATAACCCATGGACACATACAATAATGTGGTGAAGGCCTGATGGGAAGGGGGGGTGGGCCAGGGTGGAGGGAGGAGGAAATGGGGGACATCTGTAATAGTCAACAATAAGAGAAAGAAAAGAAAATTAATGTTTTCAAAACACATCAAATACATACACAATTTTCCTTTGTAATTCCGGGGGTGTCATAAAACCAGTGGGCATCTTTCACATCTTCTGGGGTCAGTTCTACTTTTTTGGTGGAATTATCTGCAACCCTAACAGGTTCATTTCCCATGTCATAGGCAAGTGAATCAGCATCAAACTCAAAGTCAGCTTCATTCTTTTGTTTTTCTGAATATAAGAATGCAGCTTCATTCTTTTGTTTTTCTGAATATAAGAATGTTCTTCCAACTCTTCCTAGAATAAATTATATTGAAATAATTATTACTCCTTTAAAACCTTTGACTCCAGAGAGATAATTAAAAAAAATTTTTTTTTTATTGATTATGATATCACATAATTGTCCTCATCCCCCCATTCCCATCCCAAACCCCTCCCCACATATGCCCCCAACCCCCTGTTGACCATGGCCACTGGCTAGGCCCATATGCATGCACACAAGTTCTTTGGTTGATCTCTTCCCCTTACCCCCACCCTCCCCTACCAGACAGATAATTCTTATGTTTGCATCAAACAAGTTACTTAAACTATGAGGTATGAAAGTAAGACTACAATGATATATAGCTTTGGTTAAAAAAAAAAAAAAAAAAAAAAAAAAAGGCAGTGGGAGTTGGTGGGGGGTGGAGACATAGAAGCATTGACATAGAAGCATTGAACAGACTGTCCAATGGGACGGCCGGGAAGCGGGAGATAAGAGATCAACCAAAGCACTTGTATGCATGCATATAAGCATAACCCATGGACACAGACAGTAGGAGTGGGGTGGGGAGGGGTGAGGGCATGTGTGAGGGGGTGGGAATGGCTGGGGAGAGCTCAATGGGGGAAAAAGGAGATATATGTAATACTACACAATAAGAATAAAAATTAAAAAAAAAAAAAAAAAGTCAGGGGCCCTAGCCGGTTTGGCTCACTGGATAGAGCTTCAGCCTGTGGACCAAAGGGTCCCAGGCCGGATTCCAGTCAAAGGCACTTGTCAGGGCTCATGCAGGAGGCCACTAATTACAGGCTCCTCCCTGGCCTGGTCCCTGGTTAGGGCTCATGCAGGAGGCAACCAACTGATGTGTTTCTCTCACATCAGTGTTTCTCTCTGTCTTTCCCTCTCTCTTCTACTTTCCCTAAAACTCAATGGAAACATCTCCTAGAGTGAGGATTAATAACAACAACAAAGGCAGCTGGAGTCACACTCTTGCATTGATCAAGTATGTTCCTGGCTGTGTACATCGGGCATGAGGGAAATTACTGTAAATCAAACTGTTTTTAGTAACTGAACGTTGAAAAGAGATACCAGGAAAAGGGAGCATCTAATTTACTGCTGCTGCACGGAGTCAACAAGTGTGCTGGTCTGCAGGGAGGGGCCGTATCTCAGTGGAAGTGGAAATGCTTTTTCTGCTGTATTTCAGGTTGCTCAACAAAGAATTTTCGCATAGACCACACGAGAGTTTCTTGTAGGAGATGCTTACCTACTACATAAGCATGCTTTTTTAAGCGATTAAGTTGGTTTTTTTCTAGCTGACTAAGATCTTCTTCAGCTTCAGTTGCATATCTTTTCAGCCTTTTCCTCCTTTCAAACATTCTGTAAGGAGTTGGGTTGCAAATAGGAAACTTCAGAAGGTTTAGTGTAGTACCTGAAATACCAAAACGTATCTTTTAATAAACTTGCACAAGGGAATATGGGGCAGAAAAGTAACATTTCTGAGGAGCTACACACTGAATTGGGTACTGTGATTTATTTCACTTAACTTCATGACAAAATTATTCTTATTTTTTAGATAAGGAAATAGGCTCAGAGACTGGCTTACAGGCTCAACCAGGATGTGAATCCAAAATCTGCAGATCTGATTTTTCATTTTCACAAACTACCACCCTACATAAAAGCACTGATTTCGAAGGAAAAATGAGGCAGTTTTGTCAATCTTAAATACAAACAGGGTCAGAAAAGGACTCATTTTGTAATTACAGGAGTTTCTTAAAACCATAAATTCGAGCCCTATCCAGTTTGGGTCAGTGGATAGAGCATCGGTCCATGGACTGAAAGGTTCCAGGTTCAATTCCAGTCATGGGCATGTACCACAGGTGCAGGCTCAATCCCAAGTCCCAAGTCTGGGCTCATGCCAGAGGCAACCAATCAATGTTTCACAATGACGACTCTCTCTCCCTCCTCCCTTCCACTCTCTTAAAAAAAAAAAAAAGAAAAATCAGTGGAAAAATATCCTCAGGTGAGGATGGACAAAACAAACACACCACAAAATGGACATTTCTTTCAACAAAGCCACACATCATCTTACTGCATTAGTTGAGTTATTCAAAGGTTAAAGGTATAGAGTAAGTATACTGATTTATAACACGAATAAACTCAAGACAGTGGAGGTAAGTGTAGAAAGTCAAAGGACCTCCATGCAACCATCCAGAGTAAAGCTCCAAGGGAAACCTCAGAGAGAGCAGGAACTTCGTTGCCTCGTTTATCTCCAGGGCCTAGAACAGTGATGGAACATACAAGATCTCCATAAATATTTCTATTAGAAAATGACTGGCCAAAACCAGTTTGGCTCAGTGGACAGAGCATCCGGCTGCAGACTGAAGGGTCCCAGGTTCGATTCTGGTCAAGGGCACATCTCCAGTAGGGCGTGTGCAGGAGGCAGCTGATCGATGTTTCTCTCTCATTGATGTTTCTAATTCTCTATCCCTCTCCCTTCCTCTCTGTAAAAAAATCAATAAAATATATTTAAAAAAAAAGAAAAGAAAGAAAATAACTGCAACTACTACGTTTCCTGGCACTATGCTGACCCAGAAGAGAGGAGTTGTTAGAGGAGGGAGAGAATTATTAAAGGGAAGGCTACCGACGGTTCCTGGTGGACTTGAAGCATCTCGGAAAAAGAGTGGGATCTTGGCCCAATGCCAATCTCTAGGCATTTAGGGGGCGGACCTCCGAGAGAGAGCTCACCCGGCCAGGAGGAGATGGTGGCTCGGTCGATGGCCTCGGCGCCCTTGGCGATGCAGTAATCCGACTCCAGGAGCGTGTTGAAGAGGGTAGACTTGCCGGCGTTGGTGGCGCCCACCAGGTAGACGTCGCCGCGGTAGCGCCAGGAGCGCTGCAGGGCGGAGATGAACTCCTCCACTCCGTACCCGGTCTTGGCGCTGATGAGCCGCACGTCCCGGACCACAGGACCGGCCTGGGCCGGAGGACTCGAGTTCTCTTCCCCGCCCGGCGGCCCGCCCCTGCCGGGGGCCCGCTGCAGCCCGGCGCGGGCACAGTCGTCCCACAGCCGCTCCCGCAGCCGCTGCAGGTAGCCGGGGGCGTCCTGGGGCAGCAGGTCCACCTTGTTGCCCAGCACGATCAGCTGCTTGGGGCCGACCAGCGCGGGCAGGTCGGGCAGCAGGGCGTCGGGCAGATCGAGCAAGTCCACCATGTAGAGCACCAGGGCGGGCCCGGGCTGCCGCAGCGCCGTGCTCACCAGCTCCAGGTACTGCTCGCGGCTCACCTGCAGGCGCAGCGCGCGCCGGTGGTGCACCAGCAGCCAGCAGCGCTGGCACACGGTGCGCGCCAGCCCGGCCGCCTGCGCCCTCGCGCTGAGGAACTTCTCGCTGGGCAGGTAGCCAGGCACGTCCGGGTCCTGGCAGTGCAGCTCCGCCCCGCAGCCGGAGCAGCTCAGGCCGCTGGACGGCACGGTCGGGTCCGGGTGCCCTACGACCGGGTGCACCCGGAGCCTGGCGCGTAGCTTCTGCTGCCGCCGCTCCTCCCGCCGCTGCAGCTTCTGTCGTTCCTCCTCTTCCTGCCGCTGCCGCAGCTCCCGCAGCTGTCCTTCCACGGTCGGAGCGGCCTCGGGCTCCGGCTCCAGGACGTATTCGGGGAACAGAAAGTCCTCCTCCATCTCCATGTCATCCCTTCCTTCGTAACCCGCAGTCGCCGTCGGGCCCCGAGGAAGCCCGTGTCGCAGGCCCGATGCGTGCTGGAAGGAGGTGGGGGCCGCGCATCTCCTCTCGAGGAACGGCTCCCGGAGGCCATGGCGCGTTACCGTGGGAGCAGGTCCCTGAAGGAAGGGCCTGAGCAGTCTGCGGGCGAAGCGTGCAGGCAGCATGGGGAACCTGGCCCCCGAGCCAAGGGGCGGGGCCAAGGGCGCGCACGCGCACTGAGGCCCGAGATGCGCGCGCATCCATCCTCAGGCAAGCCCGGGACTACCGAACGCGGTCATTGGTCAGCCGCCACACCTCAGCTCCGCCTCCTGCCCCTCATCCAATCAGGGCTCAGGGGCTTGAGAGCCCGCCTAAAGCTGCGACCAAGATACCAGGGCCTGGATTGTGCTCCTGGGGCTAAGTAGGCTCGTGAAGATTTTGTCACTTTCAGGCTTCTTCAGCGCGCCACCGGTGGCGCAACCCGCCCATAGTCACGTTTCAAAAAAAGCATTGATTTTTGGCTTTAAAAGTGCAAGAACTAGAGCATTAAATGCTGCGGATTTTCGGCGCAATTTAAAAATTTTAATTAAATATTGGATTTTCCCCCCCCAGATGTCATTACTGGTGACACAATATTGAAAAACAAACAAAACCGTCATTGGCTGGAACCTATTCGCAAGGCCGTAGTTGAGGTTCCCGCTATCACGTGTAGGAGGCGTAGTCCCACAATCTGCGCCTGCGCATTTCTAACCGTTACCAAGCTAACCCACAGTACGCCCATGCGCGCGAACATTCCGTAGGCTTTGTAGGTGGCCTTCGGCGGAAGACGCAGAGTGTTCTGGGAACGCCGGATGCGGAAATCACTTTGTCTCACGCTCCGGGCGCCGGTGGTAGCTGCGTGCGTTTTTGTCTAATTTCCAGAGCTAGCACTTCGGGGACGGTTTGCCACCATGTATGACGCAGACGAGGGTAGGTGACCGCGGAGACCCATCTAAGGGGGACATGTGGGGGGACTGGACGAATTGAGGATTTGCGGACTTTCCCCAAGCAGCCGGCCATACAGGTGTCCCCAGTGTTGTTTCCCATTTACCCCAGGACCAGAGCGGGAGGGCGCAGGGAATGTAGCGTTAATGTTCCCGGTCGGGGCGACACTTGTGTTTTCACTGCTTGCTTCTTGGTGAATCATGTACATACTATTTTCTCGTATTGAAATAGCGTGCACAACCATACAGTCAAAGTCCGTTTTGACTTTGAAGTAAAAGGCTCTTTTTAAAATTTCCCTTAAAGCCAGAGTTAATGGATTAATTGGAGAGTTGAATTTTTGAGCGTCAACCTGTGCCAGACAACCTGTGCTGGGGCTGGCATTGTGTGTAGGGCGGGAGTGGGAGTAGGAGTAGGGGAGGGAGGTTTAGTTTGGCATTCTTTCATGCTGTCATATGTTTAAATAATTTTTCTTAAAAGATGGCCTTCTATCTCAGTAAAACTTCTATCTCAGTAGAAAAGAAATCCAGAAAAGAGTTTTTAGCTTTATTTTTTTGAGAAGGTAATATATTCTTGTGTCTCAGAAGCCAAAAAATATAAAAGTGTCAGGTCTCTTTCTTGTCCATCACCTTCCTGTATGAACCTCCTTCATGGCAGGTAGCCACTGTCCCTCGATTATTTTTTTTTTTAATTTCTTTACTAAATATATTTTATTGATTTTTTTACAGAGAGGAAAGGAGAGAGAGAGAGAAAGAAACATCAGTGATTAGAAGTGATTAGAGAGGCTCATTGATTGGGTGCTTCCTGCCTGTCCCATACTAGGCATCTAGCCTGCAACTGGGCATATGCCCTTAACCGGAATTGAGCCCAGGACCCTTCAGTCTGCAGGGCGACACTATAACCACTGAGCCAAACTGGCTAGGACTAGATACCTTTTTCTTACCCCTCTCCCCATGTGTAGGGATCAGTAATTCTATTCTATTTAAGAAGAGCTTATTAAATGACTTTATTTTAGATATGTATTCAATTTTGAATTCAAAAGTTAGAATATTAAAAAAATAGCTGAAACTTTGGTTGTGGGCACATCCCCTGTGGGGTGTGTGCAAGAGGCAGCTGATCGATGACTCTCTCTCATGACTCTCTCTCATTGGTGTTTCTAACTCTCAATCCCTCTCTCTTCCTCTCTGTAAAAAATCAATAAAATGTATTAAAAAATACAGTACACTTATTATTTAACATAAGAAGATGAGAGATATGTTAGACTTGATCAGTGCACACTGATTTTTCCAAGTGCCCTATTCAAATTATAATTGCCCCAACATTTGGCTGCCTAAAAGTTAATATGTTATGGATTGAAGTGGTCAGGAATTTGGGTAGAGCATAGTAGGAATGACTTGTCAGCTCCATGTCAGTAGTTCACCTGGGAAGATTCAAAGGCTAGGGCTGGATGATCTGGAGTGTTTACTCTTGTGTCTGGCACTTAGCTTGGAAAGACTCAAGGACTTGAATTGCTGACTGGAGCATCTATAAGTAGCTCTCCATATGACTTAGGCTTATTCACAGTACACAGTTTTCGAGTACTAGGACTTAATGGCAATTGAGGGCTCCAGAGGAAAGTGTTTCAACAAACAAGGTGGAACAACACTGTCTTTCTGACCTAGTTTCTAAAGTCACATAACATCGCTTTTGCTGCAGTGTTTTAGTTTTCAGAGAGTGAAAAAACCTGCCCAGATTCAAAGGAAGGAAACACAGCTGGTGTGGCTTGGTGGTTGAGTGTTGACCTATGAACTAGGAGGTCATTGTTCAATTCCCGATTGGGGCACATGCTCAGATTGTCAGCTTGTTAGATACCCAGTAGGAGATGTGCATGGGGTGGCTGATAAGTGATTTTCTCACATTGATGGTTACTATCTTTTCCTTTCTTTCCCTTCCTCTCGAAATCAATAAAAAAAAACAATCATATATATAAAGGGAAGGAAATATAGACCCCTATATCTTGTAAAAAAAACTTGTGAAATGTGATTGTGGCCATCTTTGGAAAATACAGTTCATGTAATTGACCACCTTACCTTAAGGTATTGCCCAACTATTGGAACTGTTTTCTGTCTCTATACCTTAATCTTTGACCCCAGTCCGAGGACTGTGAGCTTGCTCCTAGTCACCTACATAGATTCTATTAATGAATTGAATAAGATGAGAAACTTACAGATTCACACACTTATGCTGAACCTTTGTAATGAGGCCTCTTTGTGAGTGAATACCTGTGTGTTGTACACCTATGTGTACATAGATATTTACCCGTGTGTGTTATATCATTACAATTTAATTAATGTAATAGAAATTTTAGAAGAGTGAGGTAGAAGGATTGCTTTCTTAAATGTGTTTTTTATTGATGTTAGAGAGGAAGGGAGAGAGAGAAACATCAGAGATGAGAGAGAATCATTGATTGGTTGCCTCCTCTGTGCCCCACACTGGGAATTGAGCCCACAATTTGGATATATGCCCTGACTGGGAATGAAACCATAACCTCCTGGTTCATAGGTCAACACTCAACCACTGAACCACATTGGACAAAAGTATTGCTCTTTATTTAGCAGATTGTTACCTTTGGAGCATGATATTAATTAGTAGGGTGAGACTATGATTACTGTCTTTGTATAACAAGTTTGTGGAAACAAGACTTATACATACATGTTAATTTTTATTCCAGATATGCAATATGATGAGGATGATGATGAAATCACCCCAGATTTGTGGCAAGAAGCATGCTGGATTGTAATCAGGTAATTTAAGGCTAGACTGAATAAGCTTAAAAGGTACTATAACCTATAAAGGGATTTCCTGCTTATTCACTTATTGAAAACTAGATGTTCTGTATCAATGTGCTACATGAGAGCCAGTTTCTTTCTTTCTTTCTTTTAAAAAAAATATATTTTATTGATTTCTTTACAGAGGAAGGGGGAGGGATAGAGAGTTAGAAACATTGATGAGAGAGAAACATCGACCAGCTGCCTCTTGCACACCCCCCACTGGGGATGTGCCCGCAACCAAGGTACATGCCCTTGACTGGAATCAAACCCTGGACTCTTCAGTCCGAAGGCTGACGCTCTATCCACTGAGCCAAACCTGTTTCGGCCATGCCCCATCATTTAATCTTCATTCATTTGCTGAGTATTTTCACTTGAATGACTATCATATCATCTTTAACATATTCAAAATAGAACTAATAATCTTTAACCTGAAATTGAAATGCTTAATACATCCCATATTTTAGTCATTAATATCTTCTCTCTTATTCAAATTAGAGTTCTTATTTTTGTCTTTGGCTGGATTTTTTTTTTTATTCAATAGTTTTTGTCCTGGCATTTTTTCCAAGAAATATTTCCAAGAGTTTGGATGAAATTTATCTATAAAGGACATTTGTAAATTTTTTTTTTTTTTTACATTTGTAAATTAGTGCTCTCTTACTTTTTATTATCATTCTTATGTTTGCTTTCCTCTTTTAATCTTGATGGTTGAAAGTATTACATAGGTCTTCTTTTCTTCCCATTAACCTCTTCCAGCCCTCTCCCATCCTCCCCTTATGTTGTGCTTTAGTTATTTTACTCATATGTATAAGTCTTGTTTCCACAAACTTAAGTTATACAAAGACAGTATTCATAGTCTCACCCCTTTTTTGGATACTTCATAGTATCTTGTGTAGAGATGGGCATATAGTGGTTGGTATTTAATAACTGTTCGTTGAATTTAATATAATAAAAATGGGAAAATATATTAGAAAACATCACTCACTGTTTTGTAACTAATTATGAACTCAAATATTTTCCTAGTTCCTATTTTGACGAGAAAGGCTTGGTCAGACAACAGCTGGATTCTTTTGATGAGTTTATTCAGATGTCTGTTCAAAGAATTGTGGAAGATGCTCCACCTATAGACCTACAAGCTGAAGCCCAGCATGCTAGTGGAGAAGTTGAAGAACCGGTAAGATAATTATTCTAATAAAGTAACATAAGTAAAGGAAGACTGTTGACATGAAATTTCACTTCTCTCACCTGCCTTAAAGGCTAAAAAAAGTTAGTTGGTGTTTTTAGCAGAGTACTTATAGCATCTTCAATCAGCTCCTGATTTATTCTTATAACTGGAGAGAGGCATTTTTGCAAGTATAGTTGACACTTGAACAACATGGATTTGAACTTTATGTGCCGATGAAATACATGTGTTTCTTTCATTCTTGTACACAAACAATGTAAA